ATAGTGCGCCTCTGTAGGTGAGAACTGGGCTTTGACATAGTGCGCCTATGGAGGTGAGAACTGGGCTTCGACATAGTGTGCCTATGGAGGTGAGAACTGGGCTTTGACATAGTGCGCCTCTGTAGGTGAGAACTGGGCTTTGACATAGTGTGCCTCTGTAGGTGAGAGCTTTCCTTTGAGCAGTATCATGGGGCCTGCGTTTAGTCCTTATTCTGAGATGGAGACTCAGTAAACTTCCCAGGCTGGCCCTGAACTCACGCAGCAGCCAGAGCGAGCTTTAGGGTTCTGACTCTCCTGCCTCAGCCTCCTGTGATAGCAGCCTCGGCTCATTCAGCAAAGGTCAAGGGCAGGTAAAGTCTTGTAACTGAGGCCTTTGAAGAGTATCATATTTCAAAGCTAAAAAGCCGTTCCCATGAAGTAATGTTTGCATCTGGATGACATCAGTGGTGACCTTTTTAGAAACATAATGAAAACTGTTGCAAATACCTCTTGGTACCTATCCTATAGTTCCTATCAGAACTTAAGCTAAAGGCGAGAAAACTAGCTGCTGCTGTTCTGGAAGTTTCCCTAATTGAACAGCCCCTGTCCTCTAAGCCGAACTCACATGGGGATCCTTCCTACAGCTGCCTAGAAACCAACAATCTTACGACAGCCCCTTCCGGTTTCTTCCCATTGTGTGAAGTTGATTCTCTAATATACTACATGCCCATTGGCCCTGCCCGCGGCACTTCCTGTGGTAAAACATCCCTGTGTATACATCCAGAGAGCCTCATGAGAAGTTTCTAAGTAAGACTTACATCCAAATAAAATCAGAAACAACCGTAGACCTCAAACCAGCAACAATCACATGGTACAGAGTTTTGATAAGTTATTTCCGTATAATATTAAAACAAATGTTAATACGGCTGAGGTTCCTTTGCTAGTGTCCAGCCTAAGAAGAGAAACAGCTATGAACTCAAAACCAGTATTATATCAGAGCTGCAGTAATATTATGAAACTCTGTCAGACACTAAAAAAATAAATAAAACACACATTGTGGATTCCATTCTTGTATGCTAACATAAGATTGAGATTTTTAAAATAAAAAAAAAAGTCATATGTTAGGAGAGATAACTTACAGGCTTTCCAAATATAACAAAGCAAGCCGGTTTGGACAGCAAACAGTTCCTGTCAGTTTCATCTTCATTAAAGATGTCTGCAAATGGATGTTCTTCTGTCTTTTTGTCAGAAGCCATAATTCAAAATACTACAATGGAAAAGGTAAAGCTGAAGGCTTACAGTGTTGGGGCAGAAATGTGGGGAAGAATTCCATGTATTTACTCAGCTCAGGAGCTGTCTCATATCACCAAATGTTTGAGAGGTCATCTGTTGTGTCATGGAGATCCTGAGGCTGTGGGCCCACAGGACCAGCCCCTGACATGCTCCAGCAGTTCACAGATGGGGTGGATGTTGGGGTTGACCAGCTCAAAGCCCTGGATCTGGGCCTGGGTGGTAGCTGAGTTCGTCAGCCTGCCAGCTCTTCTGTACCTGTGCTACCAGGGCAGGGTCTCCTGTTCTCCTGCCCTTAGGGCTGGCTTTCCTGCTCTCTGCCCTTGGGGGCTGACTCTCCTGCTGTCTGCCCTTGAGGGCTGGCTCTCCCATGCCCACACCACTAGGGCCAGCCCTGCCTCATGCAAGATCCACAGTGGTCTGCAGCACGGGTTCACTGAAGAGGAGGCTAGGAGCCCTCAAGAACAGACTGAGTAACACTCCACAGGTATTTACACTGGTGATGCCTTAGTTCTTTTCTAAGAGAAGCCGAGGAGAGCTGTGGGAACTGATATCTGTCTTTCCAGCAAGGACCACTGGGTGGAGGGTCTTGACACTGAGCCAGCGCTGCAGCAGCCCACTGAGTGATAAAACAGAGAGGGTGAGAGAGCCTAGACAGGTCTGGAAGGCAAAAGTAAGGTTTATAAATATGTATTCCGGTCGCCTCACTCAGGGCTCTGTTACCCATCTCCTATGTTTCTTTTTTAGATCAAAACTCAGGTAGCACTCCCTGAGAACACCTGTCAGAGAGAGGAGACCATCACAGGATATATTGATGCAAGCTGGAAATCCCACACTTCTAGATTTTGGTTGCTTTAGCAAGCAGCTTTGAAAAATAGCAATTGCGATAAACATTCCTACAGGCAGAGCCTTAAACAGAGCTTATAAGTCCTCAAACTGGTAGAGGGAGATTCTGAATGGCTTCATCAAGGGCCCAAAGGAGCAAGGTCAGAAGAAGAACAGCCCATGACTGGACTTGTAGACCGCTTGGCAGATACATTTAAAATGAGCTCTTCCCCGCCGCACTCCTGTGTAAACACTTCCGCTAAATGCAAGTGGGATCTGTGATTATTTTATATTATATTTGACTTCATCCTAGCGGTTGGATAGCGACTTCCTGTAGGCTCAGAAGTACCGCCATGTTGTGGGAGGACCACGCAGTAGGGAGCCGTGTCTGGCCTGCAGGTGTGGAGAGCAACATGCAGCCAACAGCTAAAGGAAACAGGAACCCGGGTCCCATCGCCAGAGACGAATTTTCTCAATAATGGAATGGGTTCTTTCTTAGTTGTCTATCCAGTGGAAAGTAAATTTCAGTTAATACCTGACTGCAGAGGACTCCACTGATGTATGCCACGACCCCCGGACATGGAAACCGTAAGGTAATGAACATTTTAAGATGTTAAATTTGCAGCAATCTGCTCTGCAGTTTAGAAAACCAATTCCATTCCCAAAGCATACACCTGTGAAGATGTACTGATCAAACAGGCGAGCAAGCTGATTTCCAGTAGATGCCAGCCAGTCTTTCCGGCTCCTCTTAGTCGTACAGGTTCCTAAACGGAAACAGCATGGTGGCAGGGATGAAGTGGCTGAGCTATGCCGTGAGTTAGTAAGGTTCCCTCACACCGATGTTCTACATCTGCAGGGATGAGGCGAAGACTTGAGTGTGATACAATCTCCTGAGGAGCCGAAACTCCCACCACTGACAGACTGGTTATACAGGATCCCTTCCCACTGTGAGGGACAAGTGGGGGATGTGGGGGAAGGTGAGTGTGCCTTCCCTATCTGCAGTCTGTCGGCCAGCACAGCTAACAAATGGTTGTCTCATTTATCATCACAAAGCTCATAAAATATTGTACCAAGTCAGAGGGTCTGCTTTACAGAGAAGAGCGTAAGGTGTGTGTAAATGTGAGACCTACTTTCTCTACCACACACATCCCAGATCACTTAAAGTTGCTGGCGTGTTGGACTGACATCTCAAAGGTACTGGTACGACACTTTATAATATTGGGTGGGGTAGAGACAGCCAGTGTACTTCAAGCCTGGGAATATGCTTTGAGAAATGGCTTTCATCCCCACCATCCTGTGATTGATCTGGCCAATTCTCATTGACTTGGGCAATTTCTCACAATTTTAGGCTCTGGTGGTCATAGACTGGATTTGTTTGCTGAGAGAGATGGTTGCATCAGAGATCTCAGTCAAGGTTTCACAAAACTAAAACGCTTGCTACCAAGTGGTCACTCTGGGCTCCGGAAGCCTGTGAAGGAAGAAGTTGTACCAGCAGGGAAGTTAGGCTTGGTATATAGTTAGGATTAGAAAGGTAATCTTAAACTCTGGATTCTCTGGGACATGTATTCATGCTATGACACAGGAATGAAGCGGGGCAAGCAGCTTAGACTCACATTAGTCCTGAGAGAGTAAAGAAAGCCTGGACATGTTAGAGACGGAGGCGGGTGAGCAGTGGAGACCTGGGTGGGGTTACCTGCAGCAGTGGATCCTGCAGCTGACCTCATTCAGTTCCCTAGTCACCATCTTCAAGGACTGGTGATGGGCTGCTGTGACCTCGGTGTGGGACAGTGGGTATGAGTGGGTCACGGGGTGGAATGCAGCAGAACTCTCCTGGTGCATGTGTCGTGCAACTCCTCTAGGTTACTACTGGACTTTTGGATACCAGCATGTGGGGCTCTGTCCATGAACTTCCTCCAGCTGCCTCTCTGAGCACAGGCAAACTGGAAGTTCCAAGACATCACGCTCTCCCCTGCCATAGCAGGTTTCAGCCAGTAATACATGGAAGTTGGTGAATAAACACAATGTTCCTTTGTTCCAAGATATGTACTGCTCATCCCTAGTGAACTTAGCTGACATAGAAGCCTGCTTGACAATAGTCCCCTTTGCCAAGTGCCCCTCCCCAGCCCCGTCTCCTGGGATTAGCTTTATAGAAACAACTCGGCACTTTTGTTTGTTTGTCATCAGCCCTGCTCCTGGGTGATGTAAACTATCAAAGTTCTCAAAGGGAAGTGCTCCGTTGTAGTATAAAATAATAATTGAAAACAATATTTGAAAATCAAATTATATAATTTTTAAAAAGTGACTTACCTAAATCAAAACGCTCTGCAGATGTTTAGCTTACATCAGGAAGAGCTGATTTCCGTTATGAAATGGAAAAGTTAAAAGGTGCCATTCAAGATGGAGATAAGTGGATCTCTGGGGCTTGTTGGCTGAGGGACCACATCCAACTTAACCTCTGGTTTACACATGCACGCGCACGCGCACGCGCGCGCACACACACACACACACACACACACCACCAGCCTAAAATGCCAGAACTGAGACTCTTGCCACCTTTCTAGTTTCTTAATAAAAAAAGATGTAGCAAACTGAAAGAAAACCATAGATACTCATACTTGAGAATCTAACTTTTGAATCTACAGCAAACTTTAATATCTTTTTCAGCTATGTGTTTGCATCTTTAAAGTTTTATTACCTTTACAGCATGAGAACCCTCTAGCGGTGAATTCTGGAATATAGAGGGGTCCCTGTGAAACCTGGCGCTTCCCGCCTGTGCTAGATTAGTCACCAATATGCTACCCTCTGGCGCAGGTGTTTAGTCTTAGCTGAAAGGAGAACTGGCTTTTGAAAAGTCGATTTATGAAGAGATCGTGGGTTTAGCTTTGCAAGAAGAACAACTGGTATTGGGTCCCCGCCGGAAGTGCACGTCCCTGCAACTGATAACAAAATACACCCAGAAGGTGGACAATGGCCCTCCTGCCTCTGCTTACCTGGTCCTTGTGGACCGGGGATGCGACAGCAGCTACCTCCTGAGGTTCTAGGTGTCTGTTAGGCGGTTGCCTTGGAAACCTGTGGGAGGCGTGCAGAGCCTCTTGGAGGGCGGGGCCTCGGGAGGTGGCGCTTTAATTCGGAGTGAGTTCTTAAACTTGTGCTTAAATGTAGTCATAATTATAAAACACCTTTCCCACAGTGTAGGCGTGATGAACAGAGCGAGTGCATATATTGTCTACTTATGCTCAGACAGCAAACGGGAAAACCTTACCTTAACTAGAACCGACTCTAACAGCAGCGCGCTCCCCCTACACAGCACGGTCCCTTTTAGAATTCAGACCGTTAGCCTCACATAAAATGTGCAAATACCAAAGGCGCCACGTTTAAGTAATTAAGAAAGATTTGTGGGCCATACAGCCACAATATGGACTTTATTGACTCTCGTGGGGATAAAATAGACGACAAAAGAGGAGAAAAATCACAAACATCCAGGAGACAGGTTTCAGGAAAATAAAGAGTGGATAGGAAGAAACAGACCAATTACAATACGGAGAAGCCGCTTCAAAAGGAGAACCCAATCACCTGATCCCTTTTCTTTATTTATTTTTTTTGTTTTTGTTTTTTCCTTTTCTTTAAAGATCAACATAAACCAGTTTTTTTTTTTTGCCTGCCCTTAAGAAACATGGCACCCTTGGCGTCCGCCCTCAGCAACACCGTGATCCTGGAGCCCCGCCCCTCGCGCCTGGGCGGGACTTGTTGGGAGGCGGGGCTCGGGAATCCGGAAGCACCGGGCGGCGAGTGTTTAGAGTTGCGTTGTTTTTGTCAGCTGTATCTGGGGTGCCGGTGGATTTGCGGAGTCTCTCTGTCTCCAGGGGAACCTCGCAGCTGTCACGACCCGAGCCGCGGCCTGGTGCCCCGTGGTGGGGCCGCGATTGGCTGGAGCCATGCCCACGGCCGCTGCCCCCATCATCAGCTCGGTCCAGAAGCTGGTGCTGTATGAGACCAGAGCTGTGAGTATCCGCAGCGTCGGGACCGGGCGGGAGGACAGCGCTGCGGGGGTCGGGGACCCTGTGGGTCCTGGGGAAGAAGCAGCACCCCCTCCTCCCAGCTCCGCCGCAAGCTCGCCCGCTAGGGCCATGCAGTCAGGCAC